AAAGTGGAGTTGATGGAATAGGATGAAAATAGAAGTTTTCTTCTTGATTCTTGAAGTGATCAGTTTGGTTCTGTAACACCTGGATAATCAGAAAATACATGCCTCTCCGCATATTTTTCTCCCTCCCAAGGGCAAATTCTTGGTGGTGCTGTGATATGGGAGGTGCAGAATGTGTTGATGTGGCAGGGGCAGAACTGATATCCTGCTGGTCATCAAAGAATGATGAGCCAGACGCACACAATGGGGACACAACTGGCTACTGCATGATTCTGACGTAGAGGGACCTGGCCTTTTCCTTGCTACTGGTCAAGACGGAAGTGCTTTATGGGTGCTCTGTATCTATCAGTATGGCGTGGGAAGAGCTATGGGTTAAGGCGGGGATGTTGGCAGAGCAGTACGGTAGAAACTACAGCTGGTTCTGGAGAGTGCTTCTAGATGCTCGTGTTCCTGAATCTTAAAGTTGTTCATGCTGACTTCACTTGCTGGGCTAGTGCTGTGAGCTCTGCTGAATCTACTTGTGATTACATCATTAATACACTACTGCTCAGCTTGACAAGGACAACACTTAGGCCAGTGCCACCACCCCAGTGGATCCTCTCTAACTGGTACCTCATCTGCTCACTGGATTTTTTCCCACTGGAACACACAATTCCTTCCCTCCGAACCCCCCTCCCTCCACCCACCCTTGCCCCTTACCTCTAACCCTCTCTTTCCCACCATCCTGTTCATCTTGTCAACCATTTCTCAGTGCTGTTTTGTGTACTGGATAACGTAAATGTTCTCACCATATTTTAATATCTAATGTTAATGTGCACTCTGGTCTATGACTCAATAATTGTTGCATGTATGTTTAATGTTCACTGTGGATGATGAGCATCTCAGACACTTTCTGGGTGGCAGCAGTCTACCTCAGGGCCTCCTGGCTAAGAAGGGTTACGACTGAAGAACAGCGGGTGGACTGGACTTCTCTCATGACCCGATACAGTGTCCATTAGAGGCAATGGGATAATTCCCATTGACTTCAGTGGGCATTGCATTGGGTCTGCAGTACAGGCTTGGGGTCTAGTCTGGTTTGTAGATGTAGGAATCTGATGCAAAGTGTGTGGGAGGAGGTGGATGATAGGCTGTTCACAGAAACACTGTGGAGGCCCAGTGGTGACTGAATAAGCCCAGCTTCTGATCTTAAGTGTTTCTGCACGCAGCACTGATCACCCGGTCATTCGTTCATCCTCATCTCTCTCTGTCTCTCTCAGTGGCTTTCTCACACATCCTCACCTGCTGTGTATTATGACTATTAGGCCTAAGTTGGCATGCTCCTTTAATTTATTTCTGTTTAAGAAGTCAGCCCACCTCTGTTCTCTCACAGGTTCTACTCACATTCTTACTCCCACCAAATTTCTCATGGACCTGAGGCACCCCGACTTCAGGGACTCCACTAGGGTATCTTTTGAGGATCAGGCTCCAGCAATGGAGTGAGAGCCAAAGAAACAAAGTAAAAGCAGCTTACTAAAGAAAAGAAACTCTTCCACTCTGAAGGGTTTTCTTTGATTCTTCCGTTATTATGTCCTTTGATATTATTTTTTTTCCTTTTTATTCTGTTTTTGGTTCTTTGATGAGAAAATGCTTGCGGTTCTTACTACCAATTTGAAAATGTGTCCAGTGCTGCCTCCATTAACCCTCTATCATGAAACTCTTTTGGGCAAAACTTGTCAGCGTCCTCATGCCATTAGTTACCCATTATGTAGTCATAGAGATGCAGGGGGAAACGGTTTGGTGTTTTCAACCTGACTGGAGAGCTGCTTGCCTTTAAAGGCATCTGAGTGGGAAAAGAGCTTGAGATGGTGATTTGAAGGCCTGAAAAGCATATCTGTGGATTTGATGCTTTATGTTGGGTCCAGAGAGCATAAATGTGGATTTGCAGCATGAGAGGAGCAAATTGTAGCTAGAACAAGAATGTCCCTGATTTGGGCTCCATGTAAAGCAAGGTCATGGCTTGTGATGAACCTGGATTTCCTAGTGACAGGGTCTGTACAACCTCGTGCTAACGTGCAACACTGCTGTACAGTAGTACAGTGTTCACTATCCTAAGTGAAATAAATGTTCCCAGTTCTCTTTC